CTTCTTCTCTAAATGCTCTATAAAACCTTAATAACTTTCATGAACACATTCTACCAATGCATTTCTACCTTGGTATATGAATTCATACATGTTTCATGTATGGAGTAGTCTAACCATTTTTTATACATATAATGTAAAAGTTATATAGTGTTTATATAAATATATTTTTTTCTAAAAAGGGAACTCTTTCAAATGGTAATAAATGAAGAAGAACTACTTAAATTCATTAATTAGATTCTGTTTACATTACCTACTATTATCAACCTCAAATTTTTGTTTGACCTAAAATCTTATTTATTATAGTCACTATTGTTAGCTACTACATAATAACAAACTTGTGTCTTAAAATTTGGGGTAAATCATAATTTCTAGCTGGGGTTAAGTCCTACAATTGTTATTTTAAAGAAGTATTTCTCAAAATAATATACACATGAATCACTGGGAGATAATATGAAAATGCAGATTCTGATTTGAGTCGGGTCCTATGATTCTGAATTTTTATTGAGTAGGTAGTATCTTTTGATGTATTACACAGAGACTTTCCTACTAAATAAATGATTACTTAAGGTTGTCTTCAGGATCTCCTTGGGCTTTATTTGCATGGGCACAGTCGATTGACTTTCAGGTTCTAATACAGAAGAGTGATTGGAATGGATCACATTGAATCATGGGAGGTCCCCTTCTTGAGTCACTATTTCCTCCTAATGGCTCTTACACCACTCATCCTACTCAATTCACATCCAAAACTTTGTTTTGTGTCCTTTGTCATTCATTTATCTAGTCAGCATCCCCTAAGCACTTACTATATGCCAGACTTATTCCTTTTCTTAAAGAAGCTCTCATTCTTAGGGCAGGTGGAAGGGGAGAGTGAACTCAGACATGTAAGATAAAAATGGCAAAATAAGTATTTTTGGTATTACAATAAAAGTTTGATGGCACAAAAAAGTGATTGTTCACCTTTAACAGATTGATAATTGGGAAAATATTAAGTAAATCTTCAACCCACTAAGCAGCTTTACAATTAGAATATTACTGAAACTGTTGAAGCCACTTGTGTTCATGTACTTTGTAATTCACTTTCATAGACCATATATTAATGAGACAAAAGTGTTCAAGACAGCGTTACCAAACAAAATTCTAAAATTTTATATTGAATCATGTGACAAAATTTGTTATCAGTACTTAGGTATACAATACTCCCCGTAGCTCAATAATCACTTCAATATGAATATTTAATTTAGTTAAAAAAATCAAAGATTCATAGAATATTAGAAATTGAAGGAAATCTAGAGGTCCTCTAGTAGAGTGCTATCAACTCCAAATTATATAACAGGCCAGTAAACCATTTAAAATCCATTATAAATCCCAACAATGTGATGAAGAAGACTAGGTGAGTATACAAGATGAGTCCAGTCAAAACCATTGGCACAGAAAATAGTGAGGGAGGCTCAGATGCAAGGCAGTGACATTGCTTTACAGAACATCAGATCAGCAGTCCAAAAAGGGATTCAATCAATTTCAGTACTAACTGAATTTCAGAGAAGTTAACTTATCCAATATCATTAAGATCAATAACACTAAACCAATTAGAAGAAATATGTTTATTGGACAACTACAATTTGGAGGACACTGGAATAAGTGTTGTGAAGGGAATGTGTTTGTCTAAAATAGAGAAGTTACGATCTATTCTATGGATAAGAGACAATGTATGCAGATATGATGGTGTGTATATGTATGTTCTTGTGCATACTATATTTGTATGCATGTCTGTGTTTGTGTGTTTTGTCTTTGAGGAATAAATGACAGAGAAATGGATTGAGGCTAGAGAATCCTCTATACAACAGAGAACCAATGGATAATTTTAGACAGGGAAATTACATGAATAAATTTGTTCATTAGAATGACAGTAGCAGTGTGGATGATTATCTGGAGAGAGAGCCCAGAGGCAGGAAGACCAGATAGGAGGAGGATACTCCAATGGTTCTGGTGAACACAGAAGGAAGGCCTTTCCTAAGCTGTCGCTGTGGGGATTGATAAATTCACGTAAGCTAAGAAACGTACAGTGGAAAGATATTAAGTATTAATAACCAATGCTTTTTTATATCCACACCTGAAAATGACTCTCAAGTATCGTCATACACCTCATTTCTCTTTATCTGCTTTTCATTAGTCAGATGAAATGTACCTCAAGGTGTATCAGCCCAAAAATCTCTAGAGAGTCAAGGACAGAGATGAAAACTTGCCCTGGACCTCTAAGGTTTCAGCTGAACCAAATGCCATAGAAAATACTGTGTGAACTGAAGCGTATGTATTGAAAATCAGTCACCTGCCTTTTCCCAGCTGGCTGAGGTGAACCCCATTAGCATCAAAAGGACAAGTCAGGGTGAACTTGGGCAAAAAGGATTGCTTTTTATCCTCATAAATAAATAGAAGTGACTCCTTAGCACCTTATCCTGCATGATTATGGCAGTATTCTGGATTTTGAAGAAAAAAGTGCTCTCAGTAGGAGAGAAGACTTTGTGATTAAGAGTTGTATTTCTGAGTTAGATTTGAAAAGCTCAGTGAACCAGAGTAAGCTAGGAAAATGCAAAACATGGGCAGTCAGAACCTGTAGTTTGACTCTCAGCTCTATTGCTTGTTAGGATATCACCTCTTTGAAAGTCATTTTTCTCCTTGAAAACACAGGCATAATTAAACCAACCATAATTAAACCAACCTTGCTGTAAAAGTAAAACAGCATAGCATTTGTGAATGTGTTCACCAGAGGATATGAAAGAGAGGTAAATGAAAAATGCAACAGCAGTTAAAAAGTAGGTAGTGTCAAGTTGGGTTTAAGATCATTGACTCTGGAGTTGAGTCTGGGTTTGAATTGGACTGTGACACTTACTAGCTTTTCTCATCCATAAAATGTAGATTAAAGTAATGCCTCATAGAAATTGTGCATATGTGTGACAATATTTAGTATTAGTTATTGGTACTGTGTTATCGGTGTTTTTCCTCTTTCTCATCCAGGAAAAGCTGTTGCCATATTTAAGGAGATGATATTTTTGATTCATTAGCAAATTTCCGTGACTCTTTAATGAATCTTGGAATATTTGAGTTAGAAGGGAATTTGAAAACATCCAGTCTAATTTCCCACATCACTGGGATCCAGCCCCTCAGGAACACTTCCAAGAATGAGAGGTCTTTTCCTCCACCAGCCTCTTGCTCTACTCTTAACAGAACCATATGACCCCTCAGAAAAAAACAGGCTTTCTGTGATTAAGTAGAAATCACCCTTCTGGAATTTTAACCTTGAAAGAAACTAGATTTACTCTCCAAATCATTCAGAGAAATATACTCCCCTACAGAACATTCACTTGTGATTATATATATGTCTACTTTGGCTTTCCATACCCAGGGAAATTCTCTACAACTTTAAATGCAGCCTAACATTGCTGGCTCATACATATACTTTTGACCACAATAATATTTACTTTCTTTTTTTTTTATCAACTGCTGTTTAATTGTGGTGTTCTAAATTATTACAATTGATTTTCTGTTTCTAATTTCAAGACTTTGCATATATTTCCATGAATCTTTGCCATGAAAGGTTTAACTCATGGTTGATGGTAGATGGCTCACTTATATTGATGAAAGGGTGAATTAAAAAAAAAAGGTACTGGAATGATTTTATAAAATGATTAAAAATAATGAATTTGAATTTTGAGTCTTGTGCCACCTTTAGGATCTTTGTGACTGCTTTGGAATTAGAAAGTCTGGTTTCATTCCTGTTTACAATTTGGCCTCAGCCTCCTTTCTCAGTGTATCTCTCAGGATTTTCCAGCTGTATTAGAATAGGAGTTCTGGAACATTTTTATTTTTCTTCCTTTTTTTCAAGTCAGTACTTTTTCTCGGTATCCCTTGCCAACAAATTCACCTGGCTAACTCCTACTTACCTTTTAAGACCATGCCCATATATTACTTCCCAAGAAGCCTTCGGCAGAGAGAGAATTGTTCTCTTCCCAAGAGAATTGTTTGCTCCCCACTCATTCTCTAGCAGACATCTGCGCCACTTCCCAGGGAATTGTTTGATTGCAAGTGACTGGAAATTCTGATTTAATAATGGAGCCGTAGAGGAAATGTATTGACACAAAACTTAGGGAAAGGTTAAAATAATAAAGCCATATGACAGGTAGGATGACATTTCAACTTCTAGAAGACCCAGGTCCTGTTTCCAAGACTCTGTACTCATGACTTGTGTGGCTTTCTTCTCTTAGCTTTCTCCTTTCTTTCTTTAAACTGAATTTTTCAAACTGAGAAATATGGTTTTTGATAGTGTCTGAACTTTAAATCTTTTACCATCTGCTACCAGAGAGAAAGAATGACCCTTTTTCTCAAAGCCAGTTTGAAAAATCCTAGAGAAGTACCATGTTGTGTGGCCAGAGGGGCAAAATACTATGACTAGCTTGGCTCAAGTATAGCCACCATCACTGGATCATGCTGCTGTGGGTGAGGAATCAGAGATATGTAAGAACAGGGCAGCTTCCAATGAAGATGGTTCGATGTGAGGGCAAGTGGAGGTATAGTTTTCAGAGGAGGGAGAGAGGGAAAGCTGTGCCAAAAGGCCCATAGATGTTCATTTTTACCTATTTACATCTCTTTTCACAACTAGACTATGACATACTTGAAGACAATAACTGTATTTTAAGACAAGGATCCTATCTTATTTTCTAGGGATTGAAAATGCATTGTATCTGGAACATAATACACCTAAATATATATATATATATTTTAAATAACACTTGTGTTTAGAAACATACTTAATATGCATAATTTTTTTCTTAAGAAATTTAGACTTCTATTGTTGGTATACTTTTTGTGGAATTTAGAACTTTGGATAATCTTTATACTTAAATCTGGAAACTAAAAAATACATCAAGTATTTTAAGAATTCAATTCATAAGAAAAAAATAGGCAGAAATAATATTTATATATATGACCAATTTAATAATATGCATTTATCTCCAATGAGATGTTGAGCTTTGAATTTAATCAGGCTTTTATTTTCATTTTACAAAGTAATATGATAAATCTTTTTAGTAATGCTTTTAGATTATATTCATACTTTCAAAGATTCTTGGTGGCTAATTAAGTAGACTGATTTGCCTTTCAAAACAATTTGCACCCCTATATTTATGATACTGTGTCTGCTTTATGTTCATTCTTGACCCAGTGACATTTCTGAAAACCCAGATTCTGTTTTTCATGGATTTACCTCCTGCAGGAAGGTGCATATTCAGAAAGACTGCTCATTGTCTTAGGTCATCCAGATCCCTCAATTCATCACTGACTTCCTCTGTACTTTGTGAATCTGAATCCTGGCATTTGTTTTTTCTGTGCCTCACTGCTCTGGTTCTTCTATTTCTAGGAAATGTGTTTTTTTGCTTTATCTCCTGTTTACTCATGAATTTGTGTTTCTCTAGCTGTGGGAACGTGGGACTGTTGCAGTGGCTTCCCACTTGGGAAGCACCTGTACCTTTAGAAGGACATTTGGGTCTCTTCCCAGCAGTTGAAGAAAGCTTCACATATTGGACTGTGGACAAAGATGCCCTCCTGTGTTTTGATTCATTGCTATGCACATTCTTCTCTTTTAAGGCCTCACAGTAGGTATTCTGATTGAAGTGTTCACTTCTGTGACTTCCTCTCAGAGAGTGAGTACTTGATTCCCTGCTGACAGATCTCTTTCTAAGTCCAACACACCAAGATTTGGATCTGTGAGTACTGAGCCTTAGTTGTCTTTGAATTCTTCTGCTGAAGTGTGAACCAACTTCTACACATTGGGAGGATTGTCTGCACTTCATCCTCCTTTTTCTGGAAGAACTCAGCTTTCTACCATCTCTTGTAGGAGAAAGGGTATTTTCTGAAATGCAACTGCAAGAAGGGGCCCTGTTTCTGGATTTGCAGCTTAGGGATCTTTCTCTGGGCAGTCTTTGAAAGATCTTTGGTGAAGATTCTGAGTATTTATTTTTTTCTTCTTCTTTTTTCTGGAAATTTACCTTCTGGCTAAGGCTTGAAACCCTTGTTTCTCTTAGACTGTACTTCTGTGGTCGCACAGAAATTGCTGGGGTACTGAAGGTGCGTGGCATTGTTTCACACTTTCCCAGATCATGGCCATGACCAGGAGGTGACTTTATTCTTTCTGTCTTTTTCTCTTGAACTTTCTTTTTACCATTCGATAAACCTGGGCTCCTTTCCCTTGGGATAGCCCAATTCAGGAACATATTATTAGTAGAAATTGTGCCTGTGTGGTTGCCTGATTCTGCTTTGTCTTTGACACAATCATGGATTTTGCTTGCTGTTTTATGAGAGACTGGTGGGATTTCAGATTTTTTCAAGGAAGAGTTACCATTTGAAAACTGTTTCAAGCCTGATAGAGGCCTCTCCTCTCCATTCCAGTGACCCTGGATGTCTTTAGACTGCTTTGTATTTTGTTGAGATACTAGTAGAGCATGATCCTTAGGCAAAGGCAAAACAGGAGTTGATGCAATGGACTTCTCTTTTACCCATGGTGAAACTGCAGGGCACTGATAGATGGCTCGCTGATCATAGGTCTCCATGTTATAAGGTGAATGAACAAAACTGATAAACTCATGTAGGAAATGGTGGGTGTGTTGTAGGAGATAAGGTTCCAGGAGGTGAATGAAGGACTCACTGTCCAGATCATGTTCTTTCATGTGATGGAGGATGGTGGCTAGAATATTCTTCACTGTGTAGCCATAATCTCCATAAACAGCCGTTAGTTCCCGTTTCAGCCAGGGAACCAGTCGCTGTAGACAATCAGGATTTCTTTTGAAATAATTAGCTGAAAAGTGCTTTTGAAGTTTGTAGCCTTGGACATGTGTCACCCAAATTCCAGAATAATACAGAGCTCTTCTGAACTTCATAACCACCTGATCTCTAAAGTAGCCCAGGGACATAGAGTTTGGTTGGATCTTCCCAAAATCCCCAAACTCCCTCAGTAACTCTTGGATAGTCGGCTCTCTCAATGATCTGATTTTCCTTGTGGTATCCTCGGGGCTCAGATTGAGATGATTGTTTGGAGAAGACTCCACGAGCCTTTCCTTCTCTGAGGGAAGAAATGCTGGATCACCTTTGTTATCAATCTCTGGCCTGATGGAACAGCACTGAGAAGGAGAGCACTGCATGCTGGAAGAAGGCATGGATTTCTTCCTTGACCTTGAATATAAAGAGCCATTATGCCTCTTGTTGAAACAGGAATTCCAATCAGACTCATTCTCAGCACCCTCCAAACAATTCGGACAGTCACAATCAGATGAGAGATCTGATGGCATTGCCCTGAATGGATTATATTTCACAGTCAAATGTGAGAGCAATTGTCTCAAATCAATCCCTCAACTGGCATGAAAAATATCTATTGAAAGTATCCCATGCATGTTTCTATAATATGTTTTATCTCTATGGAATAAATGCTTGAATAAAGTTAAGAAACAAACTATTCCTCAAATTAATAATATTGTGCTCATAAAACCCAATGTAGATAAAAGGTAACAGGGATTCAGGCACACTGATTTTTTCTTTCTTTCTCAAATTAGTTGTTGCAAACCCTGAAAAGCAAATTTAAAATAAATGTCAAAATTTAAGTACCATATCCTTTGATCTAGCAATTCTAACTATATTTATTTAATCTAGATATACAAATATGCTAACACATATATGTTGACCTTTGTGTATTAAATAACAAAAAACTGAGAACAACATAAATATCTATCAGTAAGGGACTTGTTAAATGATCATTTATTCATGGTATTTAATATTACCCATTTAAAAATAAGGTAAATCTAAAGATACTAATAAGATGGTTGAATATATTGTTAAATGAAAATATAAGTTTATATAAAAGTATGAAAAACTATTATAAACTCTTGGAGAGTAAACATTAATTTTGGGTAGTATTATGAACTAGATACCTGAAAAATTTGCTTACTAGGAATAACAAAATAATGCTAGCTATAATAGTTATATGCTAAGTTGAGAACAAATAGGTAAAATTATCAAAAGTTAAAATAGAGATATATAAGAATTCAGAGAAGGAAGTAAGTTCTGATACTACTAGTTTCCCATATGTGGTGTTCTTAAACTTTAATTCTGATGGAACTGATAGCTGTAGATGATAAGAGACAAAACAATGAACTCTGTCCTAGGCTGAACAGCTAATAGGAAACCCCTTCTAAATATGTGTATCCAAGTATTTACATCCTTACCAAAAAAGTGAATTAGAAAAAAAATCACCCCACAAAAGTGTCAACAAGAAATCTTAGCAGAGATTTTGTAACTAAAAACAAGTATGAATGTTTGCAGACCTAATTTAAACAATCTGTTTTCCTAAAAATCTCAAGAGAGTCATTTATTTGAGTTTGATAGTGACTCCCAGGCAACTGGCAGAGACAAACCCAAATTTTCTCTGGAGGGACACAGCTTTTAAACCCAGGTCTCATGAAAAATTTCCCATAAATTAGTTCACAATCAAAAATCACTAACAAACAAGAAATAGATCATCATCATAAGCATTAAGTCCATAGAAATAATAGCAAATTTTGGCTCCTAAGAGAATCAGAAAATGAGTATGCTGAATTTTGGCTCCTAAGAGAATCAGAAAATGAGTATGCTGAATGTGTTCAAAGAAATAAAGATGTTTTAAAAGTATTACCAAAAATAAAAGTCTATACTATGACCAGAGGGACTTGAAACATAACCAAATAGAATTTGAAGACATAAAACAATTAAGTGTTGACATTTCAAAATGAATGGATAAAATAAATAACAGAATAAACACAGATGAAGAGAGTTATTAGTGAATTATAATAGAGAACTGAAAAATACATAGAATGCTTCATAAAGAAATGGAAATTTGGAAGATAAAGATAAGAATAAAGTGAGAAGGTTTAAAATTCTTAGAAAATAATACAGAAAATTAAGGAAAAGCACTATTTGAAGAGATATGTCTACCAACTTTCCAGAATGTGTAAAATATGTAAATTTTTCAGAATCACAATAAATTCCAAGTATAATAAATGAAAAGAAATCCACACCCCAAAAGCATAAAAGTTAAACTGTAGTACACCAAAGATAAAATAACTTTCCAATTGTAATTATGAACTAGAAAAAAAGAAAATATATCTTCAATGTATTGATAAAAGCAAACTTGTGATTCTGTAAATACAGATCCAATGAAAATGACTTTCAAGCATTAGGTCAAAATTTGATAGAATTTGGGAGAAAGACATTTAAGAAAAACTAAAATCTGAAAAAGTTAAGCACCAACCCTCTTGAAAGAACATGTAAAAGATGTAGTTCAGGAAGAAAATGATTAAAAAATGACTACTGACAGAATTTGTAAGGTAAAAGACAAAATGGTAAGCAAAAAATGATAAGCAGATGGATCTAAGCAAACAGTGTCTAACAACAATATTATATCTATATTGTGGGATTAAAATGAAAATAAAGCTCTAATACTGAAAAATAATAGCATAAAAGTTGGAAGGCAAGTAACTGAACTCAAAACATTCTAAAGTTTTGTTATGAAGAAAGGTAAAGATATTTATTAACAGTAAATTTAGAAACAGTTAAATATTCATGTTAAAATACCTATAATAACTACTAAAATAATGGAAATGGAGTGCACAGAAACTGTAAAAAGGAGAAAAATGGAATTAAAGAGGAAAACCAATGAAATTCAATATAAAAATAAACAAGTAAAATAATGAATACAAACTTCATTATATAAAATTTAAAATAATAAATATTATAAGTTTAGATACACATTCTTATGGGGCAAAACTACTTGTAAAAAAAAACAATGGAAATGAGAAACCAAGAATCAAAGCTAGTGTTTCCCACCAGGTTTCAGAGAGGGAGAGAAATGCCATCAAGAAGGAGGCACACAGAGGTCTTCAAAGGTATTGGATGCTAGGCATTTACTATTATTTAAACTTTATATGTGTTATATATCTTTTGTATTTATTAATATTTAGTTAAAGTTTTAATTCAAATAAGGTAGACATACATAACAGAAGTTTGGATATACATAGAAAAATTCTGGACAGATATAATACAATAAATGTTAATATATATGTGGGTGGTAGAACACGGTGTAAGGACATAAAAAAAGGTATGAAGACTTTCCAACTTACACTCACAATGTAATTTTTTAAACCATAAACATGTATTTTTCTAATTAAAAAACTAGCTAAAAATAAAATTATGTAACCTAAAACGAACAAAATTGTACTAAATGTGCTAAATTTGAAAAAATAGTATCTTGAAATCTTAGTCTACAAATTTAGAGCACTTTGAAGTGGCATATTTGATGGAATATTGTTCAAATTTATAATGATGAATATTTTTCATTTTGTCTAACTTCTTATTATATTTGACATTTTTCAGTGATGAAATCTACTTCTACTTTCTTAATGCATGGAATCCTAGTGTTGGACAGAATTTCAAAGATCATGTTCTCTGGTAGTTTTCAAGGCTTTCAAAGGCAAAGAACTTTTAATAAAAGCATATTGTGCCACATGTTAAACATAACTCTTCCTCAACCTCCTACCTCCTCAGCTGCCCACCCTATTTCTCCATGGCTCTCAAAGGTAGCTCCACTGAATTACCAGGGACACCATGGAGTTCAAGTTTATGAAACTCTTGTCTACTTTATGTCTAACTAGTGCAGGAATCCCTTATGTAACCCCACGGCAGATTGTCACCTGGTTTCTGTTCCAACCCTTCGTTATAGAGGTATGTATTCTATGACATGGCTCATTCCATTCCACTGCAGACTCCAGTTTGTGCTAAGGATAAAGAAGATTTTTATTGCCTTTAGCTAAAATATTTCTTTATGTAACTTCAAAATATTAGCCCTAACTCTGTCCTGTGTCTAATTTCCCATTCTTCTCCCTAGCTACACTAATTCCTTCTACCTAACTATGGGAGCCTCTCATATGTGAAGGCTATTGTTTTATACACCCATACGATACACTCCTCTGATCTAGCAAGTAGGCTCTGTGTCCTGGCCTCCTCAGTTTAGAATTCTCTAAGGACCTCTTCCATCTGTGCCCCTACACAGAGGGGAAGAGTCCATGAAACCAAGAATTCAGGCTATCTATAATTCCTCTTCCTTATAGACGATGCTCCTGCCTTCTAGGACTCCTAAATTTCATCTTTAAGGGGAAACCACATGGGTAGAGCATACAAACCTAGACTCAAGAGGCAGACATGAGGTGAGTAGATGGAATTTGTGCATGGTGACTGCGGTGCAAGAAGCTACTTACAGTGCCAGATGGAAGAGAAAAGAGACAGGATGCAAGTAAGAAGGTTCTCCATTTGTACCTTCATCCCAACCCACCCCCAAATATTTAGAGCAAGTCTACCTCAAAAACTTCTATTTTTCTAATCTTTTCATTTCTACTTCCTTCAAGCTCATTTTTATGAAAATTTATCCAGTTCTTGCTAATACTAGGTCACCAAATTAAAAATAGTCTATGTCTAGATCCCTTCAAGTTATACAATTTTATACAGTTAATTAATAATTTTTAAATAAATATAGCTAAGCTGGTTGGTTAACTTTCATTTTTTCTGTTGAGGTTTCAAGCCACCCTTTCTAGAAGTAAGACTTTCACCAAGTCTTCATTCATCTTGAAATCAAAAATGACATAAATTATATGATTTGACAAATTTACCTCCCACGTGATGTCCACACTCTTCTGAGCCTTAGATGCTGGTTTAATTTGGTTGTAGTGGATCACCTCTGTTTTGTTTACCTTAGAGACAGAATTTAGAACACAGGGCAAGTTCTGCTGTTAACTGGGAAGAGAGAGAGAGCTCCAACTTTTCTATGAAGCTTGCATCTTACATTTCCCAAGAGAGTCCCAAATGATGTTAAGATGTAATTTCTGAATAAGAGGGGATTCAGATCCATGACTTAGGGGTTGCCAGAACTCTTTAATATTCTACCACATCAGTCAAAGCCAGTACTCTAAGAGGTAGTCTGACTCAGAAGAGAGCAGGCATGCTTCGTAGAATATACGTTTTTCTAATGAATGAATTCCCCAAAGTAACAGTTGCTGGCCTAATATTAATATTTGGATTTAAACCAGTCAATCAAAAATCATTACTTTTTCTTTAAATGAATGGTATGAATAAACCTTTTAGCATATGTGCAAGGTGGGTTAATCTTGGTTGTTTATGTACCAACTTTTTGGACCCAAATTGATAAAAATTTGTGATTAGGGGTACCGTTTACACACCCATGGCTAAATATCAGTTAATATTACAAATAGCACAATTAGAAAGTCACTCAACAGAGAAAGTTTTTCTTTTCTGTTGCTTTTCTGACTGTTAAACTCCCCTTAAATTTAGTCATGTTTACCCAGGTTATTCATGCTCTTTCAGAACCGGGATGAAACCAATTTAGCTCACAGGATATTTGGGGGGATTAGATGAGTTCTCTCAGTTACTGTTTGGCACTTAATCATAGTTCCTTAAAACAGGCATTTTAGTATTTTGAGTAGGTTTCATTAAGAATGCCTATGATCATGCATCACATTTAAAAAATAACCCAAAATTGACACCAATTCTGACACTTTTGTAACTATTGGGCAATGTGGAGCCACATATCCCCGTAACCTTAATACTTATTCCAGCAGCATATGGAGGAAAGAACAGCACAGACCTGAGTTCTTGTGCTACCATTACCCACACAGGTTCACATATGCTCCCTGAGCCTTAGTTGATTCATCTGTGAAATGTGTTTATTAGAAAGGTTCAAACAAGATAATAGATGGTATAAGTACTTTGTGAAGTACAATGCTTATTAATAATAAAGTGCTCTCAGGGAATAGTTACCTATACACAATGCCTAGCACAGTAAAAATACCCAGTACATATCTGTTGAAAGAAAGAAAGGAAGGGGGAGAGCTGGGGAAAGAATGGGAGGGAGAAAGAGAAGGAGAAACGTAAGGGAGGGCCATTGAAGTTTCTCTCTCTTTTTTATTGATATGTAATATTTGTACATACTTATGGGGTACATGTGGCATTTTGATGCATGCACACAATGTGTAGTGACCATATCAGGTATTTAAGATATCCATCACCTCAAACACTTATCATTTCTTTGTGTTAGGAACAATGCAAATCTTTTCCTCTAGTAATTGTAAAATATACAATAGATTGTTGTTAACCATAGTCATTCTATTGTGCTATCAAACCCTAAAGTTTATTCCTTTTCTCTAACTGTGTGTTTGTACCCATTAGACAGCCACTGTTCAATCCCCATTTACCAACACCCTTCCCAGCCTCTGGTAACCACCATTCTACTCGCTGCCTCTGTGAGATTACCTTTTTTAGCAAAAAAGTGAGCATGCAATATTTATCTTTCTGTGCCTGGCTTATTTCACTTAGAAAAATTACCTCCAGTTCCATCCCTGTTGTTGCAAATGACATGATTTCCTTCTTTCTAATGGCTGAGTGATATTCTATTGTGTATACATACCACATTTTCCTTACCCATTCATTAGTAGATGGACACATAGGTTGATTCCTTATCCTGGCTATTCTGAATAGAGCTGCAGTAAACATGGGGGTGCAGGTAATCTTTGGATACACTTTTTTTTCTTTGATTGAATGCCTAGTAGTAGGATTGCTGAACCATACAGTTATTTAGTTTTTTGAGAAAGCTCCATACCCTTTTCCATAATAGCCATGCTAATTCACCTTTCCCACCAACAGTGTTTGAGTTTTCTTTTCTCTACATCCTTGCCAGCATGTGTTATTTTTTGTCTTTTTGACAGTAGCCATTCTAATTGGGGTAAGATGATACCTTATTGTGTGTTTGGTTTGCATTAATTTCCCTGATGATTTGTGAGGTTGAGCAGTTTTTCATATACTTTTTGGCCAAGTTTCTCTTTCAGCTGCTTATATTTCAGTTTATCTCTCCATTTTTTTACTCCACCATTTCCTTCCTTTTCTTTTCTTATTTTTACTTCCTCAATTCCTCAATTCTCAAAATCCTATAGCAGCTTGGAAGGAAAGGGGTTGCTGGGAGAAGGATGCGTTGGTACCCGGAGTACTTCAGGCTTAGAAGGATCTGAAAATGTCAATGGCAGGATGATGCTGAACAATTAATCTGATCATTTGTCACTAAGAGATCAAATGTGTTATTTTCCCACCTGAGTCCTGAGCTACCTATGTGGATGTCTGGCTCTTCTGGCCTTTTACAAGTTGCATGGCTTTAGAGCACAGTTTCCTCATCTAAGCACTATTAAGGCCAGATAATTCTTTGTTCTATGTTGTAGAATATTAAGTACCATCCCTAGTCTCTACCCACTAAATGCCATTAGCACCCTTCCACCCCAGTATAACAACCAAAAATGTTTCCAGACACTGTCAAATGTCTCTCATTTGAGAACCACTGCTCTATAATATAAAATTATTGCATTTTGCAACAATTTTACTCACTAGAGCTAGAACAATTCTGCTACCAAAAAGCTGTACTATGTGCATGCATGAGAAGGATCAAGTGTAATTAGCTGAAAGAGCATTCCTGGGCTTTGAAGCCAGAAAATCTATGCTAGAATTTTGAATTTTTTCATTTGGATTTGTTTTTTATGAGCAGCTTAGTTAACTTCTCTGTATTTTATTTACTTAATCTATATACAAGAACATGGCATGTTTCTTCATAGCACTTATCACCACCAACTATGTGTCTGTTTCTTCTCCATTTTGTGAGAATATAAACTCCATGAGAAAAGAAGGGTAGGATCTTTGGTTTATATACCACTGTGTCCTCATTTCTTAGAATAAACCAGACACATAGGAAGACCTCATATCTATTTTTTAAATTAATTTTCTATAAATAGCACAAAGTCCAGTGTCTAGAACATAATAGGCATCAACAACAATACTTTTAATCAATTCTTATTATTCCAAGTAGTTATGTTCTATAACATCATCACAAACAGTGAATTATTAAATACCATACCATTGTTCCTGAGGGAAATACAAGGTTATGTTTCTTTGAGCTTCTGGTAATATTTTTTATCAAAAGAATAATATATAGCATTGTTTAACCTGTGTCTGTTTAAAGACATCTTATTTAATATATATTGTTGATTCATTAACATTGAATTCACAGCCAGTAATACCATCACTCATGTCTGAACCAAGTTCATCTAACATGCGTATTTTCTCTATAGGGCATATCATGGATTTTTGTGCTTAGGAAAGCTAGACAGCATTTCAGCACTCTAGAGACCATTTGAAATAGTAAAATCACAAACACAAAAGCACAAAAATAATATGGCACTAAATTGATCATAAGAAAACACTTGTTTATAGTACAAGAGCTGAAGCAAGATGGCAGTGTCACCTTTGTCTACCTCAGCTGTGAATATGTGAGTTGGTTGATTCAAATTTTTCTTCACTCTGTGTATATCCACAAATGACCACGAAAATGTCAAAAGCACTTATTTGGGGTTACAAATAAATTTTAGGATATAAGCAAATTTATAAATACAGAATCCACAAATAATGAGGATTGACTATATTTGTGGACAAGGTCAGTTTATGCAAGGGGGCACAAGAGAATTCTTACTAACTTATCCTCAGGGTGAGTAATGAAACCTCAACCAACCTTGGTTTTGTTCCTCTTTTTATCTAACAATAGAACAAGGCTTCTCTCTCCAAGGTACCCTCTTCACAAACATGCAAAAGAAAACAGTGACTACAACTTTCTGTGTAAATGTTTTGTTCCAGTTCTATGTTCCTTGCGGTTCCTCATTTTCCACATATTTAGAAATTTTCCAGTTATATTTTTGCTATTGATTTCTGTCTTAATTGCACTGTGGTCTGACAGCATACTTTCTTTGATTTCTATCCGTTTAAATTTATTAAACTGAACAGAATGTGGTTTACCTTGGTGAATGTTCTATGCGAGCTTGAGAAGAATGTACAATCTGAGGCTGTTGGATGAAGTATCCCATAAATATCAATTAAATCAAGTTGACTGACAGTGTTAACCATATTCTTATGGATTGTCTGCCTGCCTGATCTATCAATTACTAAAAGAGGGGTGATATTAAAGTCTCCCACTATAACAGTACATTGTTCTTTTTCTCCTTGCAATTCTATCAGTTTTTACTTCATATGTTTTGATGATCTGTTGTAAGTGCATGTCTTCTTGAAGACTTGATCCCTTTATCATTATATAATGTCCCTCTTTATTGCTGATATTTTCCTTGATCCGAAATCTGCTTTGTTTGAATTTAATACAGCAATTTCAGCTATCTTTTGATTAGTGTTAACATGGTATATCATTCTCAATCCTTTTAATCTAAGTCTTTATATATAAAGTGAGTGTCTTGTAGACAACATATTGTTGGGTCTTGCTTTTTAATCCACTCTGACAGTCTCTGTCTTTTATTAGTATATTTAGACTTCATATTTAAAATAATTTTTGATATAGTTGGATTAATACTTGCCATGTTTTTAACTTTCTATTTATGGCATTTGTTTTTTGTTTCTTTTTCTTTTTGGTACTTCATTTGTGTCTCTCACTGCACAAGGGAAATATCCTGTATTAATCCCCATTTGGAGATAAGGAAACCAAGGCTATTGAAATAAAAATGACTTAACCAAAGTTACACATGACAAAAATGAAAGAACAAGAATTTGAAACTTGTCAATATTCTTTACATCACAAAACCTTATTTCCTATATACTGTCAACTGAAATTATGGCTGTTGAGGCAGAAATAATTTG